ACAGCAAAACCTTTTCCCGTAAGTACCAAAAAATAAAAAGGGGTTTTGTTTTTTATTCTTAAGGCAAAACAGTTATATTTCCATGGAGAAATTTTTTTCCCCGCCTTTTGTTTTAACTGTATTTTGTTTTATTAACCCCATAACTGTCCAAACGTAGATCTACGTTCTCTCACCCAGCGCTCTGAATATTTTGAAAAAAAAAAAAAAAAAAAAAAAAAAAAAAAAAAAAAAAAAAAAAAAAAGACATTCTTTTACATAAAGTAACATAAAAAAAATTTTAGGACCAATACTTACCGAGATATAAGTCCGTGAAGTTGGCACTGGATGCTTACTTGACAGAAACATTGAGTCCTGCCACTTGCAGAAGTGTTGCTGATATACCTTTTTTTTCGTTTTTATTTTAATTTATAATTTTTTTGCTCTCATAATTACAATTTATAATAGGTCTTGTGATTTCATAGCCAATCTTTGTTCTGACACTAATATTAGGTACTGAAATAGTACTCAAATAATCACAATCACACCGACACGTGAACATTTTCACCTGCCTTGGTCATTTACTATTGTCTAGAAATACAGTGGACCCCCGCATAACGATCACCTCCGAATGTGACCAATTATGTAAGTGTATTTATGTAAGTGCGTTTGTACGTGTATGTTTGGGGGTATGAAATAGACTAATCTACTTCACAATACATTCCTTATGGGAACAAATTCGGTCAGTACTGGCACCTGAACATACTTCTGGAGTGAAAAAATATCGTTAACCGGGGGTCCACTGTATATACAAAGTATTTATAGGTCTCAGCAATGTTTTAGACATGCTGGAGAATATATGAAACTTCTTGAAGCATGGTGCTTATAATGAGTGTCAGTAAACTACTGACAGCATAAGCAGTGGTTTGACACTTGATGAAGGGAACCCCTGGTTTTGCTTGTTTTCATTATTGCACACAAACATGTCTGTCTATCTGTCTGTATCTATCTATCTGTCTAGCTCTGCTTACCTGTCTTTCTGTCTGCCTGTGTGTGTGTCTTTCTGTCTGCCTGTGTGTGTGTCTTTCTGTCTGCCTGTGTGTGTGTGTCTTTCTGTCTGCCTGTGTCTCTCAGTTTTTCTACCTGCCTGTGTCTCTCGGTCTTTCTGTCTGCCTGTGTGTGTCTGTCTTTCTGTCTGGCTGTGTGTGTCTGTCTTTCTGTCTGGCTGTGTGTGTCTGTCTTTCTGTCTGGCTGTGTGTGTCTGTCTTTCTGTCTGCCTGTGTGTGTGTCTTTCCATCTGCTTGTCTCGTAGTCTCAGAGAGTGGCTCATAAACCAACAGGTATTACACACGATGCAGTAGTCTGATTCCTGATTAAGTGAAAATGCTTATTACTTGCCAATGAGTTGCCAGTCATGCTTATCATGTCTTATATCTACAAGCATTGTATAGCACTTTGCCTGGAATTTTTTGGTTATCCTAGGTAATTTACACTATACACAAATAACCCGCATATAAAAGAGAGAAGCTTACGACGACGTTTCGGTCCGACTTGGACCATTTACAAAGTCACACAGTGTGACTTTGTAAATGGTCCAAGTCGGACCGAAACGTCGTCGTAAGCTTCTCTCTTTTATGTGCGGGTTATTTGTGTATCGTTCCAGTCACGGTATTGTGCCTTTTTTTGTTAATTTACACTATGTATAATAGCTGTACTTGTGTGTACATGTGAGAGAGACAGAGACAGACAGAGATACAGACAGAGACAGCCATCACTTTCCTCTTAAAAGGGGAGTGTTAATACGACATGACATCAGTGAATCCCTGGTGTTTGCCACACTATTTGCTCTAGCTGGTGCTCCCACAAGGTACTAAATGGTCCAAGATTTTTTAATAATGCGCACACCGAGGCCAATCGTGCCAAATTTGGAGGCAGGAAAAATAAATGCTAGAACTACGCTGGGAGCACTAGTGGTAAGAAAGTAGCTCTACCTTTGGACAGTTAAGGGGTTAAATACATATTTTTGTAAATGATCTTCTGGTCAAGTGTGGTTAGTTTATAATTTTTGGTACAGATTTGTCAAGAAATGTGGATTTCTTAAAATGTTTTCTGGGAGGATTTTCTTTTTGGGTCACCCTGCCTCGGTGAGTGACTCAATACTAATAATATGTTTAATCAAACTAGCTAAAAATATAAAATTAGACCCAAAATGCTGATGATCTTAACCAATAACTGAACACCAACTAGATATTCAAATAATAATACCTAAATTGCAATAGTTATTCTCTCCAGGCCACACATATGAAACAGAAATTATATAACAAATAATACCTAGTTTTGTCTAATACATTACAGGGCTTCTACCCAAGCACAGCTCTTGATTACACCAGCCTACATTCCACAATAATAGCACAGATCTTGATTACACCAGCCTACATTCCACACTAATACCACTTAAGGTTTACACTCTCTAAATGGCATATAACAGAAATCCTTGATATCCCACTTATTGTGTGCACTCAAATCTCATTCACTGGCTGACATTTTTATAGCTTTAACATAAGTATGTCTTCATGACTACATGCACTTTGAAACCAGTTGCTTTAACTGTGAAAACTTGGCTTTTATTTATTTATTTATTTTATTTATTTATTTATTCAGTGTGGAAATTAGGAGAAGGTGTGGAGTTAATAAAAGCATTAGTCAGAGGGCAGAAGAGGGGTTGTTGAGGTGGTTTGGTCGTTTAGAGAGAATGGATCAAAGTAGAATGACATGGAAAGCATATAAATCTATAGGGGAAGGAAAGAGTGGTAGGGGTCGTCCTCGAAAGGGTTGGAAAGAGGGGGTAAAGGAGGTTTTGTGGGCGAGGGGCTTGGACTTCCAGCAAGCGTGCATGAGCGTGTTAGATAGGAGTGAAAGGAGAGAATGATACTTGGGACCCGACAGATCTGTTGGAGTGTGAGCAGGGTAATATTTAGTGAAGGGATTCAGGGAAACCGGTTATTTTCATATAGTCGGACTTGAGTCCTGGAAATGGGAAGTACAATGCCTGCACTTTAAAGGAGGGGTTTGGGATATTGGCAGTTTGGAGGGATATGTTGTGTATCTTTATACGTATATGATTCTAAACTGTTGTATTCTGAGCACCTCTGCAAAAGCAGTGATAATGTGTGAGTGTAGTGAAAGTGTTGAATGATGATGAAAGTATTTTCTTTTTGGGGATTTTCTTTCTTTTTTGGGTCACCCTGCCTCGGTGGGAGACGACCGACTTGTTGAAAAAAAAAAAAAATTAATACAAGACTTCACCATGCTACTACATATTACAAGGTGACTAAAATGCTTGGGGCAAGGGAATAGTTGTCTCTTTTCTTGTATGCTGAAAAAAAAAAAAGTACATTTTAATGAGAAGGTGAAAGTGAATGTGTTTTCTTCTATGGCTTGCCTTGCCTTGGTGGGAAGACAGCCAATATACTAAAAAATCTTTTGTGTGTGTTCCATTACCAAACCATTTCCTCACCATAACCAGTAAAGAGATACCTTTGTTCCTACCTTCTCCCCCTAATACAGTAAATACCTACACTTCATTACAAAAGAACTATTGAGTAGTAAATAAATACAGTGGTACCTTGACTTATGAGTGCCCCAACTTATGAGTTTTCCGAGTTACGAGCTGTCCCTTGGTCGATTTTTTGCTCTGAATTGCGAGCCAAAATCCGAATTACGAGCAAGCTTCAGATATGTCGCCACAGGTTGGCGCAGCAAACGCCATAACATCCACCCAGCATCCCAGTGTTTTGTGCTTTTTGGGCAGTTATTTTGCCAAATTTCTTTTTTCTAATCGTGGGTCCTAAGAAAGTAACCGCAAAGGACAGTGCAGAGAAGAAGAGGAAGATGATGTCCATTGAATTAACCCTTAAACTGTCCAAACCTAGATCTACGTCCATGTGCGGGGGACTCCAAACGTAGATTTACTTTTTTTTTACGTGCTTTCAAATGGGGAAAATCAAGGTCAGAGCGCTACGCACATGAACATAGATCTACATCTGGACAGTTTAATAAGGGTTAAAGCACAAAATCATAGAAAAACATGAGAAAATCACTTTCGTTTCAGTGTTGTCCTTGTGTAACTAGTGATCTAGTGCAGTTAGCCTCACAAACACTACATTTTCTTTTATAATAAGACCTCAGGACAAGAATGGGAAGATATGGTCAGAATGATAACTATTTTTACCTCAGGAGTGGCTGCCACCACTCGTCACATAATGGCATATTTGGTTCATTCTAGCGTATATATCATGTTTCTATGTTATTTATATTGCTTATTATGTTATATTAGATCAATTGTAATAGATAAATACTGAAGTATTTTCTTCTGCCTCTCGAGAGCCAGGAATTCCGCTGGAATGGATTAATAGCACTTCAATTAATTTCAATGAGGAAAACTTATTTGATATACGAGCAAATTGAGTTATGAGCTCAGTCACAGAATGAATTAAACTCGTAAGTCAAAATACCATTGTACAGTTATAGCATTGTGTCTACATATAAAGAAACAAACAAAAATGAAAAACACAACATATTTTACAGAACTAGGAAAAATGAATTGTCAAACCAGAATTTTAAAGGAAGGAGAAAAACTGGAGATATGAGAACCATAGACACGAAAGATTTCTTTAGAACCAGCAATAGGAAAAAGAATATAATCTCAAATGCAGAAACAAATAATGAAAGTGTGTCATTACAAATAGATAACTGGAATGTGAACTAAGTAATGGGGTGTGCCCCTATAACATTGATGCTGGAGAGGGATCTAAGGAATTGGACGTATTCTCACCTTCCTTGGAACAAAGGTGACTGTCCCCATTTGACAAGTATAACCCCTTATGGGTTTACCACTTCATCCTAAAACTACTGAAAATAAATTGAATGTGGTGAACCACTACAAGCACATATAAAGCTACTTGTGCAACTACAACAGGTACAATAATTACAAAAAAAGGAATTACACACAAAGTCTTCCTCACCATATAGTCCTTGATGAGGTTGGTTATAGCTGCAGACAGTGCCTGGTTCACCAGGCCATGGTGGTAGCAACTCTTGTTTTCTACAAATCTGATGAGTTGAGAGTAGTAACCACAAAGAGGAAGGATACGACTCACCAGTGTACTCAGGGAAGGCTCTGAAGAAAATGTCAATAGAAAAATAATGGAAATCTTCATAATTACAAAATGAACTGGTGTAAAATATAAAGAAAACTGAAGGTGGGAAGCACTGCCTGCACACTGGAGGAAGAGTGAGGATGTTGCAGCTCAGGGAAGAAAGGGGGTTCCGAGCTGTAACGTCAGCCTGCTGCTGGCAAGACAGCAATTGAATGACAGTGAATATGTTAGTGAATGTGTTTCTTCCTTTTTCTTTGGGTCATCCTACTTTCGTGGGAAATGGCCAATGTGTTTAAAAAAACATGCAATTACAAATTAAAGTTCAAATATATCTACAGACTCACATATACTGTATTTGAAGCAAGATTATGAATTCAATAAAACACATGCTTTTATCAATTTCCACATTAACAACTAATATAGTTTCCTACTAACTACTAACTTCATTGGAAAATTATGTAAGTTATTAAATAATGCAAAGAAAATGTACAGTATTAGTGGATTTAGATAAAAAGTAGCCAAAAATGTGCAGTAGAATTCTTCAAGTGAATATGAAACTGAAGCAAGGTTGCTCAATACTGAATGATCAGTACATATGAAGCATACTGTCAATACAGCTTAAGTAAGGAAGAGATTGAATTTTACTGTATGGGTTTTAGGAAAAAATGTGATCTACTTCCATTGCTATTTGATGTTTTTTACATCTTTCCAAATATGCTTCAACACATCACCTACCTTTTGGCAGTACTCCATAGTTTGGTAGGTACCCTTGCCAAACATATGCCCAAATTACTAGGCATCATTAGAAAAGCACACCTCCAACACTCAGGAGGCCTATTAACAGGATCAAAAACATCAACATGAAGAACAAGACATTAACCAGCCTCTACATCATATCCCTATTCACCATGGTCCCTACAGACCAAGCTATTAATTTATTAATAAGTTGGCCTGTGATACTCCAATACTGAAACTATGTATAGTGCCAAAACAAAAGCATTCACATTGCTAAACTCACAAACTAGTATTTAGTCACTTAGCCATAATACCAACTTACCTCATAATTTTGTAATATTTTAAACTTAAGATTTAATCTAAGTCTGCCCGAAATGCCTAGCCATGCTAGGTGTTCTAGTGGTACACTCTGTAATTATTATTTTACTACATGTAAACCACACAATAGCCAAATTCTGTAAACTCAGCATTGTAATCCTTATAGAGAATAAACTTTGAATTTGAATTAAGAAGAAACATAAGACTAGATATGGAGCTTCCACTTCCCTGTCAATCTTTTGAGGACCTCACTGAACTTTGTATTAATCTCAATTTCTTTTCTTCAATAAAATCTATGAAAAGTGACATGGCCATGGGGTTACCAATAATTGCGTTTTGCCAGCCTCTACATGGAATCCCTAGCAGCATAACAATTCTCCAGCATCATTCCTTCATCCATCTCAGTTACAATGCTTTAACCCTGAAAACTTCAAAAACTGCCTTTAACAGAGTTGAACCTTTAATCTTGAAGAACAAGAAAACACCCTTTCTTTCCTGTGGTACAGCTTATCAAACCACCCAAATTTTAAGTCTACCTGGAGGTTATTCCTGGAGGTTATTCTGGGGATCAACGCCCCCGCGGCCTGGTCCCCAACCAGGCCTCCAAGCTTAATAACAAGAATGACCTAATACACTTTTCCCATCATGACGAGAAAGCCAGACAAAGAGCGATGACTGGGTTCTTTCCAAGAACTTGTAGAGTCTGCCATCCCAAATATTTGAAGAAGAATGCAGAATCACTAGTAACATCTTCACCTTGCTACACTATCTTTCACAACTTCATTCAAAATTGCAAAGCAAGGGCCCCAAAAATATTTTTTTTTTCATCCAAAGAGAGCAATGATTGCAACAAGTGCTCATTTTTCCCCACAAACAGAACTGAAGATATCAGACAGGTGTTAAACAATGGAATAAATGCTACAAACATCACCTCCAAAAATTATTAGAGACCACCAGAACAGGACATAACAGCCAGGACAACATTACTGCAACAGTACACACCATTTTATGTGGTGGGTATTACAAATGGTATAATAGTGCAACTTCACACCATCTAAAAACCAGAATTCAAGAACACCAATAAACCTGTAGGACCCACAACAAACTCAAAGGGATACAGCCAGGTATATAAAAACTTTTAATATGTACAAAAAGCACTACTGAACAGAATGAAGGTGCATACAACTTAAACTACTGGTTAATGTCTTACTACAGGGACATGCTTGACAATAGGGTTGGGCTAATGTGCTAGCCAGAAACCACAAGACAAGTCAACAACATTCTCTAGTACTTTACCAACCCAAAATTCATTACTCACCCACCTCACCACTTTCTTCATTTCCAATATAAACAAACAAACACATGCATGTGTGCATTTTGTATCTTCTCTTGACATGATAGAAATCTTATACTGAAACATTGACCCATAAAAGCTTATTCTGCAGTATGTCTTTTCTTCATTATCCACAAGTATGTTGCCAAAAGTGCTATACTCCTTTTGTTCTCATGATACTACTGTATATTTCTTCTTTCTTTCAACAAACTGGCCGTATCCTACCGAGGCAGGGTGGCCCACAAAAAAAAAACAAGTTTCTCTTTTCAAATTTGGTAATTTATACAGGAGGAGGGGTTACTAGCCCCTTGCTCCTGGCATTTTAGTCGCTTCTTATAACATGCATGGCTTACGGAGGAAGAATTCTGTTCCACTTCCCCATGGAGATAAGAGGAAATAAACAAGAACAAGAACAAGAAAGAAAATAGCAGAAAACCCAGAGGGGTGTGTATATATATGCTTGTACATGTATGTGTAGTGTGACTTAAGTGTAAGTAGAAGTAGCAAGATGTACCTGAAATCTTGCATGTTTATGAGACAGAAAAAAGACACCAGCAATCCTACCATCATGTAAAACAATTACAGGCTTTCGTTTTACGATCACTTGGCAGGACGGTAGTACAGTGGTCCCCCACTTTTCATAGTTCCCGGCAATCGTAAAATTCGCCAATCATAGGGGTATTTTCGTATAAACATGGACTCGCTTTTCATAGGTTGACTCGCGAGTCGTAGTTCGTCCGGGATGCGTACCCACGGTGTGAGCCGGGGCGGCAGAAAGTCTGGCATTGTTTACCAGTGAGCGAAGGTCCCCTCACGTGCTCCAGCAAAATATTTCATAATATTCCATTCATTTTAGTGCTTGCAAGTACTAAATAAGCTACCATGGCTCCAAAGAAAGCTCCTAGTTGCCAAGCCTGTGGTAAAGAAGGTGAGAAATACGATTGAATTTAAGAAAACCATCATTGAACAATATGAAAGTGGTACAAGTGTGGCGAACTGTCCAGGATTTTATAAGAAAACCCTACACAACCTTATTTTTCCATAGTGGGCCCAAAAAAAAAGGAAATAAAGGATGCTGTTTTTGCAAAGGGAGAAATATGCTGACAAAAAGGGAATCCCAGTACGGGAAGAGGTTGAGATTATTTTTGGTTTGGGATAAATGAAAAACAATTGCGGAGATATCTTATGTTTCGATTATTTGTAAAAAGGCTAGGCAGTTTGATGAAGATTTGGTGAAAAAATTGTGAAAATATGGTGAAATAGTGAATTTAAGGCCGAAAAGGGGGTTTGAGAGATTTAAGAACCTACGCATACCATGTGGAAGGCATGTGAGGCTGCCAGTTCGGACCCAAGGGGCTGAAAAAATATGGCGGGAAAACCCCCAGGTAAAAAGGTGAAGGACTAAAACCCTACAAGTGTTAAATTTGTGGCAAAACGGGCCTTTTTTGAAAAAAATCCCAAAAGGGGAAATTTTCATTACACAAAAGGAAAAGGCAATGCAGGAACAAGCCTAGAAAGACAGGCTACGCTAAGTTTGTGCAAATGCAGTGGGGATTCAAAGTGAACTTACTATTACCTTTCTGAAAACCCCAAGTTTCAGGAAAAAACAATTTATGAAGAGAAAAAGTGTGTTTTGGAAACTAATAGTAAGGCAGGGGCAGAGGGAAATTTTTTGGAGTGGTTAAATGAAGTTTTTTGGCCCATGTGAAGGAGTACCCCGGAAAAAAATTGGATCCAAGTCCCCTAGTAATGGACAATGCACCTGCTATCCCCAAATTGGGTGACCTAATTTTTGAGGGGGTTTGGGTTCCCAGAAAGTTCTTGCCCCCAAAAACCCTCCTCTCCCCAACCAGGGCCAAGGTTTTGAAACTTTAAAAAAAACTTACACAAAAGAAAAGTTTTCAAGGTGCTTGACTGTGCCCGAACCCTTGAAAAACCCAAGGAATTTTGGAAAAAAACACTTCAGCCCTCACGCATAACCCTTTTAGGTAGGTTGGGAGGGGGGGACTACCAGGGGTTTTAACTTGCCCGAAAAAAATTGGGCCCGATTGTGTACAAAGGGATTTTGAAAGGATTTGGGATGCCCAAGAGCCATGTTGTTGAAAACAATTGTGGCACTGGGGAGTTCTGGGGGTTTGGGTTGAGTTTGGGGTGTGGAAAAAAATTGGTGGGGAAAACCACAATGAAGGCTCACCCCTGAGGGTTTCAAAAAGCTTTAGCAGGAAAGCAACACATCGCGCTCAGAACTTTTTGCAGAGGAGGGGAAGAGAGATGGAAGAAAGGGGCCTTTCAGAATTAAAAAGGATTTTTTTATGGGGGTAAGATGGAAAACTTCATGGAAAACTACCCCAACAAGGTTTTTTGCAACCCGGGTTGGGGAAAGTACAGTGAAAAGTCTTGGGCCATTTTAGGGAAGTGTTGAAGAGATGCCAGAAACAGAGCCTCTCCTCCGTATTTTGGAGACGGACTCCAGCACCCCAAGGTGGGCCCCAGTGCATTAAGAACAGAGAAAGAAACAACCCCCCAAAAACAAATGGTACCGAGAGTTTTAAGGAAAAGGGGGGTCCCTTCCAAATATAAACAATCCATCTCTCCTCCCCCCCCAGTCCCCCATACATAAGAAAATCCCAATAAAGGTAAGTGTTAGGTAATGTTTTCATTTATCATTTTCCCCTTGTATTGTTATGTATACGATATTTCTGTTAAAAATTTTTTTTTTTTAATATTTGGGGGCAGGAAGATTAATTGTATTTTTCATAAATTTTTATGGGGAAAATTTTTTCGTAAATGTAAATTTCGTTTATGTAAGGGTCCAGAAAGGAAAAATGAAAAAAGAGGGGCCATGTCATCCCCGGGGGGTTGCTGTTACAACTACTACCTGAGCACTGTAATTCTTTCTTTCTTTTAAAACCCCGCCGTATCCCCCCGAGGGGGGGGCCCAAAAGGAAAAACGAAAGTTTCTCCTTTTACATTTAATAATATATACAGGGGAAAAGGGGTTTCAGCCCCCCTTGCTCTCGGCATTTTATCGCCCCAAAACATGCACCCTTACGGGGGAAAATTTGTTCCACTTCCCCATGGAGGAAAGAAAAAATAAAAAAACAAGAATAGTAAAAAACAAAAAAAAACCCAAGGGGTGTGTATATTAGTTGTACATGTTTTGGTATGGATTTAAAGTGAAAGTAAAGTAGCAAGATGTATTTGAAATTTTGTGTTTATGGACAAAAAGACACCGCAATCCCCCATATGTAAAACAATTCGGTTTTCGTTTTAGTCACTTTGGCAGGACGGTGACCTCCCGGGGGCGGTTGCGTTCCACCACTACCTAAACTACTGTTATACCCCAAAATAATTAGGATAAAAAAAATTGTGTGCCCCTTTTGCATGCCTTCACCAAGTTTAGTTCTTCGCATAAAATTTAGGAAACAAAACATGGAAACTGAAAATGGAATATAAAATAAAATAAAAAAAATACCCAAATTTAATAATGGGTCTACGGGAAAAAAGGAGAAGATTGTAAAGTTGTGCAAAATGTTGAAAAAAATAGCATTTAGAAAAAAGTGAATATAAATGAGATAACTGAAGTAAAAATAAAAAATTTAAAGGAAAAAAATACTAGTAAGCTATGTAAACTTTTTTTTTGGCACACTAGCATCTTTCACCATTTTTAATGCCCCCAAAAAAGGAAAACACTTTAAAAATCAACGTCATTTCAACAGCTTTTTTGACCAAGTGTGCGGCACCCCAAATTTCAGATGACCCTCAAAAAACAACATTTACTTTTCCGAGTGCAGGAACTGACTTCACTTCCAGACTAAGTTTTCTGAACCCCTTCAAAAAATTTTTGCCCTTTCAAAATTTCCACCAGCAAGTAAACCATAAAAACCACTTTTTTGCACCTCATTGACTTAAACACCATACAAGCTTGGGAGCAAAAACCCCAAACACTCAAAACCTTTTTTTAACCCCCTTCCCTAAACCCCTTCCGGGGAGAATCCCCCTTTTTCCTCCCCCCCTAGTTTTTAAAACCCCTGATTTACCCAAATTTGCTTCCTCTCAAAATTCTCAAATACTTCAACAACCCTCGTTACATCTTTGGTAATTCACCTTCTAATACTAATAAATTTCTTTACATAATTTTTCATCCCACAAACTGCTCTGAAAACTGATACCTCTGCATCCATCCCCCCCCCTTATTTTTTAAAGCCTTTTCCCCTCCCCCCAAAAAATACGGCCCCAAAACCGGGAAATTTCCCTTTTAGATCAAAGAAAATTTTTTTTTTCTACAAAGCCCAACCACCCCCTATTTTTCCCAGTCAATTCTGGGTTCCCCAGTCTTTATGACCAACCCAACATTTTACCCCCAAATTTACTAATAAGTATGAATTTTTTTTAGACCCTTTAAAAGAAAATGAAAGAAACCAAAAAGGGGGAAATTTGACTGACCAGTATTCAAAGTGTTTTAAAAAAAAATTTTTTTTGGGGCTCATTTCCCTGTTGCTTTTTTTTCCCTTTTAATGGCCATCTCCCCCCGGAAGGGGATCCCAAAACGAAAAAATTTATATTATTCACTCCGCTTGAAGACAGTGTTGCATCAAATTTCAGTCCCCCTCCAACTGCAACATCCCCCACCCTTTTCAATGTGCAGGACTGTCCTTCCCCCCTCTAGAAAAACCCGGCCCCAGTTGCTGATGCTGAAATAAATCACATGTACAAAACATTCTTTTTACTGAAAGCCGAAATTTGGGAAAAAAACCCTTTTTACATTTTGTCAAAATTTTTTTAGTTTTTTTAACAAAACTTTCAAAAATTTTTAAAAACTTTTCCCAAATGTTTTGATCAAAAATTAAAAAATAATGGAAAAATTCTAAAAAGAATAATAGCACTTTTAATCCAACAGAAGGATCAACGTAAACCGGGGAATCGTAATTTTTTTGGGGGGCAGTTGTACTGTGAAACCTGCCTTCAATCCCACATCAAGGGCACATCCTCATCGCTGGTGTCCTGGAGTTGAGACACATCCCCTTGAAGATAAAATAAAAATGTTACCATCATTTAAAAAGGAATGTAATTAAATAAATAAAAAAAATCTTTTCTTTCAACAAACCACCAACCCCACCAAGGCAGGATGACCCAAAAAAGAAACATTCCCCACATTCACACACAACACGTCTTTGCAGGGCACTCAAATAGACATTTTCGATGTCACTCTGAACTGTAAAAAGTACCCAAACCCCCTTCTTTTTAAATACTTTCCCCCTCCCGCCCGTCCGGGGTAACTATTTCCTTGAATCTTTACAAATATTACCCAGTCACACTCCAAAGCCCTTAAGTCCCAAAAACCATTCACCCATTTTCTCCTCTCTAAACAATCACACATCCTGCTGCATGCCAAGCCCCCTTGCACACAACACCTCTTTTACTATTCATACATAAACCCCTCAAGTACAGTGGACCCCCCGGTTAAAAAGTATATTTTCACCCCGAATATTTTAGGTGCCGTATGACCGAAATTTTTTCCCCTAAGAAATATTGTGAAGTAATTAGTCCCTTTAGCCCCCAAACTACACGACAAACCACTTACAAAAAATACACTTTCATATTTTTCGTTGGGGGGATGTTCAGTGTGTGGGGTAGGGGGGGTTTCTGAAAGCGTGAAGGGGGTTTTTAAGGGTAGTGGGCTCAAATTAAGTGTTAAAAAGAGGGGGTTTTTTTCCGAAAAGAGGCCCTTAGACAAGGATGTGTGATTCCCCGTGGTTTTTTAATATAATTTATAGTGGGTTGTAAAAAAGAAAAGCGGGGTTTGGAAGAGGCTGGAGTTAAAAGATAAAGAATCACACACAGGGGGGGGTTGTCACAGCTGCTTTTTGAACACTGTGCCTTTTTGGGGATTCTGAAGAGAAGCTGCAGAGATTGGGGGATAATTTGGAGGGTGGAAAAAGAAAAAATTAAAAGGGGAATAAGGAAAGAGTAAGGTTATGAGGTAACAAAAAGATTGTATAAAATTGAAAAACAATGGGGGGAAAAATATGAGGGGTGAAGTATTCAAATTTTGGGAGTGGACGTGTAGCGGGTGGGTTATGAAAGATGAGGGATCATGAATTGAGAGGGGAAAAAAAGTGAGTGGGGCACTTAGGGTCTGTGGAGACAGAGAACTTGGGTTTGGAGGCAAAAGGGGAAGTATGAATATAGGTTTTTAAAGTTTAAATTTTGGGTGGAAATGGGGGTGATGAAATTTTTTGCGAGGAAAGGTGGGGGCATGGAGTGTCATTCTGAGGGCAATGTGTGGTGTGAAATAAGAGAGAATTCGGTTTGGGGGTTAGGAGGAGGTGCGGGATTTTCCAAAATTTTGTCCAGAGGCTGAGGAAAGGGTTGAGGTGGTTGGCATTAGAGAGAATGGAGCGAAAAAGAAAAACTTCAAGAGTGTATCATCGTGTGGAAGGAAGGCGGGGGAGGGGTGGGAGGAAGGGTTGGAGGGGGGGGGGTAAAAGGGGTTTTGTGTGCAGGGGGGGGACTTTCCCGCGGATGCGTGAGCGGTTGTAGGGGGTGAATGGAGAAAATGGTTTTTAATACTTTACGGTGTTTGGGGTGTGAGCAAAGTAACATTTTTGAAGGGGTTCAGGAAACCGGGGAGGCCGGAATTTGGGCCCGGAGAGGGGAAATACGTGCCCGCACTCTGAAGGGGGGGTGTTAAAGTTTCAGTTTAAAAACTTTGTGTAAAGCCCCCTTTTGGGAAGACAGTGAAGGAGTGAATGATGGGGAAATTTTTCTTTTTTTTTGGGCCACCCGCCTGGGGGGGAAAAGGGCCCTGTGATAATAATAAAAAAAAAAAAAAAATTGGTCACTTCGGGGGGAACGTTATCGGGGTCACTGAAAAGGGCCCCCCGGGTTTTTGTATCCCCATTTTTCATGAAAAAAATAGTTATTCTCTATAAAACAATTTTTTTTGGTTAATATTTCAAATTAGAAATAATGTAAATCCATTCCAGACACCCAAAAATATTAAAAAAAAAAAAAATACATTTTATAGACAATAACTATAGTTTTACTTACAAACTAGGGCATATGAAAACCAAGGTTCCACTGTATGTTAATTCTGAGTTATGAATTGTCTCCGTAAATAAATTTAGTTTTGAATTTCGATGAAAAATTTGAGAAATAATATGCATATGTTGGTCGACGAGTGTGGGTGGGCCTCGGCCCAGAGACAAGACAGGGTGATGCTGTGATCTGCCTACTTGCTTGTCTTAAATAGGAAGATAGTGGAGATTGCATTGAGAGTGGGAGGGAGTTGATAGGGAAGGGTGATACCTTACCTTTGATATATCTTTCTACTCCTGGAGCCCGGCCAAGGGCCAGGCTCAACTGGTGCTAACCTGGTCAACCAGGAAGAAGGGAGAGAGGGAGACCATACCTGTACTAGATACAGGCTGGGAGACAGCAACAAGAGTGTAATTATGTCTGCATATCTTTACCGAATCATTCATGTTAAGCACTAAACCCATGTGGGTCACTCAGTGCAAGATGTGGTGGAGACCTGATCCTCCCTCTTTATAGTGTGGATCTTTTGGCAGTTTACTATAAATTCAGTTAATTACAGTGCCATCAAAGCTGGCTATTTCTTTATTTAATAAAGAGCTTAATTAACAATGTAAATTTTTTAGGGAAATGCTTTAAGTAGTGCTCTTAAAAAAAATAACTAATGACAAGGAACTGGTTGAAAACCAAACTGTAAGAATAAAATTTTGAAAGATTTCTAAACATGTGAGTGAAGGTAAATGTAAGGCTTTCAAACCTGTCTAAATAACAAGTCACATTTTTTAACGGGGCAGAATATTTTTAGTATACAAGGTACTATCAACAAGTTCCTGGACTGCTGTGAAAAAAAATGTAAGCTTACCTAATCACCTAGTTAAAGTTGTCTCCCTCATATTCTCCTTGGGAGGCTGTACACTGATCCCAGCACCTCTGCCACTTCTTCAAACATTTCTGTAATTTCTAGAATTCTTCTTTCCTAACAGCATCTAGCACAGCCTGAGATTCTGCCTGACTCTCCTCTATGTCATAAAATGCCACCCCTTGAGTGCCATTTTTATTTTTGGGAAGAGAGAAAAGTCAGAGAGAGCTAGATCTGGGGAGTACGGTGGATGGGGGATGACTGCCATATTATTTTTGGACAGAAAACAATGGTCATTCTGTCCTTTAGCTAGCAAGCAGGTCTCAAATTTTGCATCCAATCACCTCATGTTCAAATTTTCAGTCAAAATGCTTGGACATAACCCACAGCACTTACAATGTCCTGGGTACTCTGATAACGATGTTTGTAAATAGCCTTCCTCACTTTTTTTCATTACTGGTGTCTATTTTTGAAGTTGATGGAAAACCAGAGCGTTCATAATCCTCAAGTGATGTTCATCCTGTTTTGAATCTAGAAAACCATTCAAAACACTGTGTCCGACCCATTGCTTACCTTTGATATACCTTTAAAGAGTTTCGAGAGTTTAACTACTCTCAGAGCCCGGCCATGGGCCAGGCTCGTCCAGTGCTTGCCTGATCAACCAGGCTTTTGCTGCTGGAGGCCCGCTGCCCCACATATCCATCACGGCCTGGTAGATCTGGCACCTCTTCGCAAAATACTTGTTGAAGCATTTTGCTAGTTTCACTAGCCGTTTTACTGAGCTTAAAACAAAATTTCACGTGCTGTTCTTTCATTTAAAGATTCCATCTTCTTTCACAAAAATTGCAACAATGCACTGACAACATGGCAAAAAATCCCCATCTAACCTCAAAAAATGACCTAATGTACTGAAATTTGCCACAATACTTCACAAAGTAGAGTACTGTGCAGCATAATCTACACCACTGCCATATTTCACCTAGGAAGCATGCAAAAATTTGGGTACATGAACTTTTTGACAGCATCTCAAATATTTGCTGTACACTTTACACATCATTCATTATACTAAACTTGTTTCTGGAAAGTCTGTAGTATATTTCAACCAGAATTAAGCATCTATATATCTGACCAAAAATTATGCCATTTTTTAGCTTTGTTTTGCATGTCAATCAGGCTTACAAGCCAGTACTCTAAATTAAATTAGCAAAGAGACACAGGTCTTATGAAGAGAAAATAAAAGTAATGAATTTGTGAATTTAATTACATTATTCAGGAATTTATTAAAGAATAAAATTTGTCACATGAAGAAACAATTAGAAACACCAGGCTTGCCAAATTAGCATTATATTTACCCACATTAACAGGCCAAACATTACCACTGAACTGTGACATCAGACACAGAAAAAACTTTCTTTCCTCCAAATGTCCACTTTCTGAACATAATCATGATTCATTAAACTTGAAAAAGTTCACTATATTATTCAACATTTTTTAGTGTTTGATTTTTAAGTTTAAATTCATATTTATTAGGATTAAACACTAAATATTAATCCATCCACCTAAAGCACACAAGAGTAAAGATTTTTTTTCATTTTTATTTTTAGTGAACAGTATCTGGATGGCAACATACAAGACAAGCTATTTTAGTCTGTGGCCTTGACATGATTATCTTTGTGAGTAAAGTAACTGAGAGCTTATTTCTGATCACATCTGCTATTGGAATCAATGGTAAAAGAAGAATGCTTTCATAGGAATAAATATTACTGGTGGGAAACAGCCAGTGTGTTTAAAAAAAATTATTTGATACCTGGATTCTTGATGCCAAAGAAGGGTGTTACATCTATTATTTCACTCAATATTTCCTTGGTGAGTACATGAGATATCTTATGCTTTAGAAACATCAATAATTACCTCTGTTAAAATCCCTCCTCAAGTTCAAACCAGGATTTGTATGGAAAATATCTTGAGTAGGTCCCAAAATCTAGGATAAAGTATGGTAAATATTGCCATCTGTCGAGATGTTTCTCAGTTAATCTTAAAGATAATTGTAAGAACGTCACCCATTTCACACCATTTCCTAGACACTACATGCAATACTTCCTTCCTCATGCACAAATAAAAGTAATCATAAACTGACAAAAAAATTGCAATGTATATAAAAAAAGCAATTACTGTACATGATTATTATCTTATTTCACAAAAAAATAGAAAGAAAAATTAAATTAATTTTCTCCCTGAATTAGGGTATGATAATAAAACTGTGATGCTGACAAAATTACAGCAGATAAATCATCCTGAGTTATTATCAAGTACTGCAATGATAAATGTTAAGATTTACTTATGGACAGTAATATGCTAACATGATACTGGTCTTTATCTTACCTAAGGCCCCAATCTCTTGTCTGTTTTCTAGTTTGACAAAGTCCAGTGATAGATACGGTCTGTTTTTTAACCAACTTGGAATTGGAGGACCCAAACATAAAGGTCTTTTTTCTCCCCTCTCCACGCTCTGTAGAGCTTCACTTGGGGTATGCATAACTTGTGATTCTCTCAGTAATCGATCCCTGAGCTGTTGAATTGTATACATTATTGTTGGTAAGAGTTTTTATACAAAGAACTAAGGATTATTATAAATAAAATTTTTTTAACAAAAACAATGTTCCCACAAAAGCAGGGTAAGGTTCCTGAAAGAAGCAAAACATATTCTCCATCACTTATCTCCCTAGCAGTCATTTCTGAAGTGCATGGATTTCACACTTTCAAGTAATCCACCGCACGGCAACAGCCCTATGCATCCAATGTAAGATATTGACATTACATAACACAGAACCATATCTAGAATCCAGAATTATATCAGGATAAAAATGCCCTACGAGAATGCATGGGCAATCTTGCAGTATAATGAGAAAGCGGTAATTGGATACAATATGTAAATGCAGCAAAGTGAAAAACTTGGTAAGCTAGACCTCTGAGTAGTCAACATGTAAACCTGAGAAGCATCACCTACCTCATTAAGCTGATCTCTGGATAACTTTGTTTCAGCAGCACGTTCTATGTCAGAAACAATTGAGGGAACATTAGCAAGTGTCACACCGTCCTCCTGCAGTCTCAACTTGGAACTGCCTTCTACTACTTTCCGTACGGACTCGTCTTCCACCAGACCACTTAGGAACACTACTAATGGATCTAAATCTCGAACACTAAAAAAAAAAAAAAATCAACTGGAAAATGTCTTATTAGAGCAACACTTACTGATGTATAGCTCTCCTCACTTAGTGACGTACTCGTTTACCAACGACTCAGACTTATGGCAGGCTCTCCAACCAGTATGCATACCTAAATACCTAATATATATTAGAGCTGATTTCCTCTATTTCATTTATTACAATATACCGTACACTACTGTATAAACATTTAAAAATATGCCAGAAATGCTATAAATAGTGCAAAGGTGACATTAAAACAACATCAAAATAGCTGACACAAACTCGCTACCATTAAAGTATGCTCCTCACTTAGTGGCGAATTCATTTACCGACATGGTCTTAGGAATGCAACTCAGTCGTTAAGTGAGGAGAGGCTGTACATGTATATGGAACTGAATCTAACAATATTGGAGGACAGAATGATAACATACAAAATACTCAGGTGGAACTGATAGGATAGGATGGGAAAGGCTGTTTCAGAGGTGAATAAGAACAACTTAGGGAAAGAGATGAGAGTTAGAGACAGATGAACCACAGGAATGTCAGAAGTATTTCCTCAGTCTAAGAGCAGTTGGGAAGAGGAACTATCTTAATTCAATGAAGAAATGGTAGAGGCAGGTTCCATACATAGTTTGAAGAGAAGAAACAATAGGGATCTTGAGCCTAAAAGGGAGTGAATCTGGTAAGTGCTGAGTTGACGGGTGAGGACAAGAGCCAGGACTTGACTCCTGCAACCACAAAGGTGAGTACAGTACCTAGCATTAATAAAACTACATTACTATATTATTTTCAAGAAATACTGCACCAGGTCACCATATGAACTATAGTGATGAAAATCTTACAAGAGAAAGAACACATCTATCTGATTTTCATGTGATGAGGAAGCACTAGTTGGGAAAGGAAGGGAAATGACTGCATAACTGTATATACAAGGCCATAATTACAGAATAAAATTCAGCATGGAAAATACAAGGATACACAATATAAGTATACATTTTAACACACTGGCAATTTCTCACCACAGTAGATACCCTAAAAAATATTCACCTTCACACAATCCCTAGCTGCCTATCCAGAGGAGCACGATCATCACAATTCAAATGAATTCATGAGACATCCTTCAGACCAGTACTTCCCACCTCCATAACTCAACTCTGGCACAGTACTGTGTATATGTACAGATCATTATTAACAACTTAAGAGATATTCAAAATATATATTGGACAGTATAGCATTTAAAGTGTTATTTAACCCCTAAACGGTCCAAATGTATATATACGTTCTCTCACCCAGTGCCCCAAATATTTTGAAAAATAAAAAAATTGTTTTATTGAAATAGAGAAAAATTTTTCTAAGTGCTATAGGATTAAAATAAAAACAAAATAGGGTCAGTACTTACTGAGATATGAGGCTGCAAAGTTGGCATTTAATGCTCACCTGACAGCAACATCAAGTCCTGCCACTTGCAGAAGTGTTGCTGATATACCTTTTTTTCTCATTTTTATATTTATTTTTTATAATTTTTATGTTCTGATAGTTACAGTTTATAGTAGTTCTTGTCATTTCATAACCAATCTTTGTTCTGACACTAATATTAGGTACTGAAATTGTACTCAAACTGTCACAAACACACTGACAGGTGGACATTTACACCTGCCTTGGTCATTTACTATTGTCTAAGAATGTATACAAAGTATTTATAGATCCCAGCAATGTATTGGATACACAGGAGTATAGAAGAAGAAGGAAGAAGAAGGAAGGAAGAATGAAGGAAGAAGAAAGGAAGAAGAAGGAAGTAGAAGGAAGAAGAAAGACAAAGAAAGTAGTAGTAGTTCCCTTGAAGCATGATGTCAGTGACAAGCATCCAGAGGGCAGTGATAAGATGAGATAAGGGATGACATTTGATGGGTGCCTGCAGGGTGCAGAGATAAGATGAGATAAGGGATTACATTTGATGGGCACCTGCGAGGGTGCAAAGATGAGATAAGGGATGACATCTGATGGGCACCTGCGAGGGTGCAGAGATAAGATGAGATAAGGGATGACATTTGATGAGTGTGGCATCTCTGTCTCTGCTTATGTCTCTTTGTCTGCTTGTCTCTCTTTCTGTCTCTCTCTCTGTCTCAGAGAGAGCCACTGTGAACCAACAGGTATTGTTATGCATTATATCTACAAGCACAGTATAGCACTTCGGATTTTTAGGTTATCCTAGGTAATTACACTATGTGTAATTGTATTTATGTTTACCTGTGAGACAGAGATAAGAACAGATAGACAGATCCTAAACTTGGGGTCAATATCACTTTCCTCTTAAAAGGGGAGTGTTAACATATTACATCAGTGAATCCTTGGTGTTTGCCACACTGTTTGCTCTCGCTGGCGCTCATTTTAACTGGCGCTCCCACAAGGTACTGAGTGGTCCCAGATTTTTTTAATGTGGTGCACAATGAGTGTTAAGACCCATTCTATGCTGACCAGACCTCTCAGGCCAATTGTGCCAAATTTGGAGGGAGGAAAAATAAAACTGGTCGATCTCTTTCTGACAGACTTAGGGAGCACAAAAATAGTGTTAGGCTTCCCGACGCTAACAATGCTCTTTTCTGTCACGTCAGAGATCATAGCCATCCTATTGACTGGTCTTCTGCTAAAACTGTCTTCCCTACTTCCAACTCGAACAGTCGCCGTCTAGTTGAATCCTCTCTAATACACAACTTTCCTTGTATGAACCTTAGCCCTGGCTTCGTCTCTGTAGATGCCTTCCTCTCCCACTACATTGTAAAATGCTCCAACCTTCAGAACACCCGTGACTTAACCGAATCCTCATTTTTCTTTCTTTTTCTTCTTCCTCTTCCCCTTTCCTCTTTCCTTTTCTCCTCTGGGTTGTCTTTCTCTCTCCTGTCTCGTGTTTCTGTTCCTTCTTCATTTATTTTATTTCACCACTTCCCCTTTCACACACCTCTGTGCGCTTGCTCTCCCTCTGTGGGCATCTAGCTCTCTTGCAGTGCTCCCCTTCCTTTGTTTTTGACTGGCTCGTCATCCTTATTTCCCACTTCTACCACTACCACTACTACTACTTCTTCTTCTTCTACTACTACTACAACTACTGATGAAATTAAAACACACGTCCGGCGTCTGGTTGTCTTTGTTGTGGATGTTTCGCCGTCTAGTGGCTGGCTGGATGGCGAAACGTCTACGATGGGGATGCCCGGGTGTTGTGCATGTGTCTTAATTTCATCTTGTCGGTATTATATACAATTCTTGTACTACTACTACTACTACTACTACCTCCACCTCTTCCTGCGTATATATAGCCATCCTGCTCCACCTCTGTTAGTGTGACTTTGTCAATGGTCCAAGTCGGATCGAAACGTCGTCGTAAGCTTCTCTCTTTTATGAGCGGGTTATTTGTGTATCGTTCCAGTCACGGTATTGTGCCTTTTTGTTATTTATTTAAGAACGTATATACATGTATATGTTTGGGGGAAGTTCGTGAGGCAGTAGGTAAAATGAAAGGGGGTAAGGCAGCCTGGATTGATGGGATAAAGATAGAAATGTTAAAAGCAGGTGGGGATATAGTTTTGGAGTGGTTGGTGCAATTATTTAATAAATGTATGGAAGAAGGTAAGGTACCTAGGGATTGGCAGAGAGCATGCATAGTTCCTTTGTATAAAGGCAAAGGGGACAAAAGAGAGTGCAAAAATTATAGGTGGATAAGTTTGTGGAGTATACCTGGTAAAGTGTATGGTCGAGTTATTATTGAAAGAATTAAGAATAAGATGGAGAATAGGATAGCAGATGTGCAAGGAGGCTTTAGGAAAGGTAGGGGGTGTTGTGGACCAGGTGTTTACAGTGAAACACATATAGTGAACAGTATTTGGATAAGGCTAAAGAGGTCTTTGTGGCATTTATGGATTTGGAAAAGGCATATGACAGGACATGGAATGACATGGAAAGCATATAAATCTATAGGGGAAGGAAAGAGGGGTAGGGGCGTCCTCGAATAGGGTTGGAACAGAGGGGGTAAAGAAGGTTTTGTGGGGGAGGGCTTGGACTTCCAGCAAGCCTGTCATGAGCGTGTTAATAGGAGTGAATGGAAGAATGATACTTGGGACCTGACGATCTGTTGGGAGGGTGTTGAAGCAGGGTAAAATTTAGTGAAGATTCAGGGAAACCGGTTATTTTCATATAGTCGCTTGAGTCATGAAAATGGGAAGTAACAATGCCTGCACTTTAAAGGAGGGGTTTGGGGATATTGCAGTTTGGAAGAATAGTTGTGTATCTCTATACGTATATGCTCTCAACTGTTAATTCTCAGCACCTCGCAAAAGCAGTGATTAATGTGCGAGTGTTGAAGTTTTTAAATGATTATGGTAAAGTATTTTCTTTTTGGGGATTTTCTTTCTTTTTTTTGGGTCACCCTGCCTTGGTGGGAGACGACCGACTTGTTGAAAAAAAAAAAAAAAAAAATATGACAGGGTGGATAGGGGGGCAATGTGGCAGATGTTGCAGGTGTATGGTGTAGGAGGTAGGTTACTGAAAGCAGTGAAGAGTTTTTACAAGGATAGTGAGGCTCAAGTTAGAGTATGTAGGAAAGAGGGAAATTATTTCCCAGTAAAGGTAGGCCTTAGACAAGGATGTGTGATGTCACCGTGGTTGTTCAATATATTTATAGATGGGGGTTGTAAGAGAAGTAAATGCGAGGGTCTTGGCAAGAGGCGTGGAGTTAAAAGATAAAGAATCACACATAAAGTGGGAGTTCTCACAGTTGCTCTTTGCTGATGACACTGTGCTCTTGGGAGATTCTGAAGAGAAGTTGCAGAGATTGGTGGATGAATTGGGTAGGGTATGCAAAAGAAGAAAATTAAAAGTGAATACAGGAAAGAGTAAGGTTATGAGGATAACAAAAAGATTAGGTGATGAAAGATTGGATATCAGATTGGAGGGAGAGAGTATGGAGGAGGTGAATGTATTCAGATATTTGGGAGTGGACGTGTCAGCGGATGGGTCTATATGAAAGATGAGATGAATCATAGAATTGATGAGGGGAAAAGGGTGAGTGGTGCACTTAGGAGTCTGTGGAGACAAAGAACTTTGTCCTTGGAGGCAAAGAGGGGAATGTATGAGAGTATAGTTTTACCAACGCTCTTATATGGGTGTGAAGCGTGGGTGATGAATGTTGCAGCGAGGAGAAGGCTGGAGGCACTGGAGATGTCATGTCTGAGGGCAATGTGTGGTGTGAATATAATGCAGAGAATTCCTAGTTTGGAAGTTAGGAGGAGGTGCGGGATTACCAAAACTGTTGTCCAGAGGGCTGAAGAAGGGTTGTTGAGGTGGTTCGGACATGTAGAGAGAATGGAGCGAAACAGAATGACTTCAAGAGTGTATCAGTCTGTAGTGGAAGGAAGGCGGGGTAGGGGTCAGCCTAGGAAAGGTTGGAGGGAGGGGGTAAAGGAGGTTTTGTGTGCGAGGGGCTTGGACTTCCAGGAGGCATGCGTGAGCATGTTTGATAGGAGTGAATGGAGACAAATGGTTTTTAATACTTGACGTGCTGTTGGACTGTGAGCAAAGTAACATTTATAAAGGGATTCAGGGAAACCGGCAGGCCGGACTTAAGTCCGGGAGATGGGAAGTACAGTGCCTGCACTCTGAAGGTGGGGTGTTAATGTTGCAGTTTAAAAACTGTAGTGTAAAGCACCCTTCTGGCAAGACAGTGATGGAGTGAATGATGGTGAAAGTTTTTCTTTTTCGGGCCACCCTGCCCTGGTGGGAATCGGCCAGTGTGATAATAAAAAAAAATAAAAATGTTTGGACCGTTTACGGGTTAATATTATCAACTCAGATTCTTTATTATTTTAACACACGAGATAAAAAAACACCTAAATCTAATACAGTAATTGCTTAAAACTTAATCAAAGTTATAAAAAGTCCAATTACATCTACACCACCATACAAATCACTTAAGGATTTTTTAAGTTTCTACATCTTACTTGCGACTCTTGAGTTCATCATATTTACTGAGGAAAGCCTGTGGATTGGGGGCATTCTCAGCCAAGATCCTCACTGCACTTGATGCCGATACTTGAGTACTAATAAATCGCTGAACAGATTCACTTAAAGTTTCTGTGTACTTCTCAGCAGCATCGGATTGGATTCTGGAATAAAAATACTTTATTCAACCTGTACCACACATTTTGAACTGTATTTTTATTTACATTAAAGTACTGAATATATGTGTATGCAAATGTGTGTGTGTATACAGAAAATAAGTCAGTGAGTCACATGTTAAAAAGGTGCAGTGGGTTCGAAGAGGCTCCTGCTGGTACTATACACAATTTGGTGCAAGTCCTAAAAAATCTAGCTACAATTTCTTTTTCTAAATATTTGCAATAGATTTACTGAAGCCATTATACTTTTTTCATTAAACTTTCTCCTAAATTTCAATATTAATGCCATTAATGAACTGATGACAGACCACCAAAACTATCCTTGTAAATCTGTTTTAAATATGCTCAATGTTATTACGATGCAAAAACTTACATACAGAACACTATTAATGCATACATGAACATGTGTCAAAACAGAATATTCTCCTTATAATGAATAAGAAAATTTTCAAATAAGAGCTGGATGGGTAATCTCTCCAAAACTCTCAATGGTAGCAAGAGGCAGCAACACAAGCCAGATGGGTTTTTACTGGTAATGTACCTGCCTAGGGTGCCTCAGTCAACATCATGAGAGCCACAAGTCAGATGGTTGGTTACAAGCATCAACAATCTTATGTAAACAAATAATATAGAACTCGATAATTGGATAGAATTTTAATGTAATGGCAATATGTCTAGGCAGAATGTACTTCTACAATTGTTCAACATTCTGAACATATAGTATTAAAGTGAGTGATGACAAATTGAAGAGGAACTACTTAAGTGCTGTACTTGTACAATTGACGAGTCTCTCCACTTGAGGCGAGGCACACTCAAATCACTCCAATTCTATCTACCTATGCAAAGGACCACAAATTGTGTTAATGTTGGTAGAATTATCAACAATATGTTAGGTAAAAGGACAAAAGTGCAACTAATGTGACATTTTATTGTGGCAATGTTTCACTCTCCAATGAAAATAAAGATATATGTTCACTATCTTCAACCACTGATGCATATTACATACATAACATTATTATACAGTAAAGTCCCTCTATTCACAATATCTGTAACAGCTGGAAGTTTTTTTTTTTTTTTTGTGGTAGGGAAATCCTCATTATCCTAAGCAACATCACTTGTGCTCTGCACCACCCCAGCCTGGTTGTGTACAGGCTCAGCAGCCTTGGCCCCTTGTTAATGCAACATCCACACTATATTGCTCTGTTGTTATCCTATCCTTGGATTTTTCTCAACCATCATGTTTCTTAAGTATTATTAGTGAGCAAATTAATTTTTACACCAAGAAAAAAATTTTTTTTTTTTTATTATCACACTGGCCGATTCCCACCAAGGCAGGGTGGCCCGAAAAAGAAAAACTTTCACCATCATTCACTCCATCACTGTCTTGCCAGAAGGGTGCTTTACACTACAGTTTTTAAACTGCAACATTAACACCCCTCCTTCAGAGTGCAGGCACTGTACTTCCCATCTCCAGGACTCAAGTCCGGCCTGCCGGTTTCCCTGAACCCCTTCATAAATGTTACTTTGCTCACACTCCAACAGCACGTCAAGTATTAAAAACCATTTGTCTCCATTCACTCCTATCAAACACGCTCAGGCATGCCTGCTGGAAGTCCAAGCCCCTCGCACACAAAACCTCCTTTACCCCCTCCCTCCAACCTTTCCTAGGCCGACCCCTACCCCGCCTTCCTTCCACTACAGACTGATACACTCTTGAAGTCATTCTGTTTCGCTCCATTATCTCTACATGTCCGAACCACCTCAACAACCCTTCCTCAGCCCTCTGGACAACAGTTTTGGTAATCCCGCACCTCCTCCTAACTTCTAAACTACGAATTCTCTGCATTATATTCACACCACACATTGCCCTCAGACATGACATCTCCACTGCCTCCAGCCTTCTCCTCGCTGCAACATTCATCACCCATGCTTCACACCCATATAAGAGCGTTGGTAAAACTATACTCTCATACATTCCCCTCTTTGCCTCCAAGGACAAAGTTCTTTGTCTCCACAGACTCCTAAGTGCACCACTCACCCTTTTCCCCTCATCAATTCTATGATTCACCTTATCTTTCATATAGACCCATCCTCTGACACATCCACTCCCAAATATCTGAATACATTCACCTCCTCCATACTCTCTCCCTCCAATCTGATATCCAATCTTTCATCACCTAATCTTTTTGTTATCCTCATAACCTTACTCTTTCCTGTATTCACTTTTAATTTTCTTCTTTTGCATACCCTACCCAATTCATCCACCAATCTCTGCAACTTCTCTTCAGAATCTCCCAAGAGCACAGTGTCATCATCAAAGAGCAACTGTGACAGCTCCCGCTTTATGTGCGATTCTTTATCTTTTAACTCCACACCTCTTGCCAAGACCCTCGCATTTACTTCTCTTACAACTCCATCTATAAATATATTAAACAACCACGGTGACATCACACATCCTTGTCTAAGGCCTACTTTTACTGGGAAATAATTTCCCTCTTTCCTACATACTCTAACTTGAGCCTCACTATCCTTGTAAAAACTCTTCACTGCTTTCAGTAACCTACCTCCTACACCATACACCTGCAACATCTGCCACATTGCCCCCCTATCCACCCTGTCATACGCCTTTTCCAAATCCATAAATGCAACAAAGACCTCTTTAGCCTTATCTAAATACTGTTCACTTATGTGTTTCACTGTAAACACCTGGTCCACACACCCCCTACCTTTCCTAAAGCCTCCTTGTTCATCTGGTATCCTATTCTCCGTCTTACTCTTAATTCTTTCAATAATAACTCTACCATACACTTTACCAGGTATACTCCACAAACTTATCCACCTATAATTTTTGCACTCTCTTTTGTCCCCTTTGCCTTTATACAAAGGAACTATGCATGCTCTCTGCCAATCCCTAGGTACCTTACCCTCATCCATACATTTATTAAATAATTGCACCAACCACTCCAAAACTATATCCCCACCTGCTTTTAACATTTCTATCTTTATCCCATCAATCCCAGCTGCCTTACCCCCTTTCATTTTACCTACTGCCTCACGAACTTCCCCCACACTCACAACTGGCTCTTCCTCACTCCTACAAGATGTTATTCCTCCTTGCCCTATACACGAAATCACAGCTTCCCTATCTTCATCAACATTCAACAATTCCTCAAAATATTCCCTCCCTCTTCCCAATACCTCTAACTCTCCATTTAATAACTCTCCTCTCCTATTTTTAACTGACAAATCCATTTGTTCTCTAGGCTTCCTTAACTTGTTAATCTCACTCCAAAACTTTTTCTTATTTTCAACAAAATTTGTTGATAATATCTCACCCACTCTCTCATTTGCTCTCATTTTACATTGCTTCACCACTCTCTTAACCTCTCTCTTTTTCTCTATATACTCTTCCCTCCTTGCATCACTTCTACTTTGTAAAAACTTCTCATATGCTAACTTTTTCTCCCTTACTACTCTCTTTACATCATCATTCCACCAATCGCTCCTCTTCCCTCCCGCACCCACTTCCTGTAACCACAAACTTCTGCTGAACACTCTAACACTACATTTTTAAACCTACCCCATACCTCTTCGACCCCATTGTCTATGCTCTCACTAGCCCATCTATCCTCCAATAGCTGTTTATATCTTACCCTTACTGCCTCCTCTTTTAGTTTATAAACCTTCACCTCTCTCTTCCCTGATGCTTCTATTCTCCTTGTATCCCATCTACCTCTTACTCTCAGTGCAGCTACAACTAGAAAGTGATCTGATATATCTGTGGCCCCTCTATAAACATGTACATCCTGAAGTCTACTCAACAGTCTTTTATCTACCAATACATAATCCAACAAACTACTGTCATTTCGCCCTACATCATATCTTGTATACTTATTTATCCTCTTCTTCTTAAAATATGTATTACCTATAACTAAACCCCTTTCTATACAAAGTTCAATCAAAGGGCTCCCATTATCATTTACATCTGGCACCCCAAACGTACCTACCACACCCTCTCTAAAAGTTTCTCCTACTTTAGCATTCAGGTTCCCTACCACAATTACTCTCTCACTTGGTTCAAAGGCTCCTATACATTCACTTAACATCTCCCAAAATCTCTCTCTCTCCTCTACATTCCTCTCTTCTCCAGGTGCATACACGCTTATTATGACCCACTATTCGCATCCAACCTTTACTTTAATCCACATAATTCCTGAATTTACACATTCATATTCTCCTTTCTCCTTCCATAACTGATCATTCAACATTACTGCTACCCCTTCCTTTGCTCTAACTCTCTCAGATACTCCAGATTTAATCCCATTTATTTCCCCCTACCGAAACTCCCCTACCCCCTTCAGCTTTGTTTCGCTTAGGGCCAGGACATCCAACTTCTTTTCATTCATAACATCAGCAATCATCTGTTTCTTGTCATCCACACTACATCCATGCATATTCAAGCATCCCAGTTTTATAAAGTTTTTCTTCTTCTCTTTTTTAGTAAATGTCTACAGGAGAAGGGGGTTACTAGCCCATTGCTCCCGGCATTTTAGTCGCCTCATATGACACGCATGGCTTACGGAGGAAAGATTCTTTTCCACTTCCCCATGGACAATAGAAGAAATAAAGAAGAACAAGAGCTATTTAGAAAAAGGAGAAAAACCTAGATGTATGTATATATATATATGCATGTGCGTGTCTGTGAAGTGTGACCAAAGTGTAAGTAGGAGTAGCAAGATATCCCTGTCATCTAGCGTGTTTATGAGACAGAAAAAGAAAAGAAAAAGAGAGAGAGAGACGAAATTGGCTGAAGGAGTGTGATTATTATTCATACTTACAGGTGGTGAATTTTATGTCTTGGTGGCAAGGAATTTTCAGGCTAACAAGTTAACAGTGTGATACATTAAGTAGAGGGAGATTATGACCAGTGTGAATGTTGTACTCTCAAGTGATGATAAGACAGTCTCAGTTGTATGTAACAAAATACT